GCATCATTAGCTTTTAGCTTTTCCTACACCAAACAATTTCAATTTTTGATTATAAGTAAGTTGTGTTTTCATTATGGAGTGACCATAAGCTTGAAATTGCTGCTCTACTAATCCAAGCCTAAAGCTTACCTCTAACCAACCAGGAATGGTAGTGAAGCCATTTTAAAGACTTCAAAATGTGAGTGGAGTTCTTGGCTTCAGTGGCCACATGTTTGATGAATAAGTATGTGATAGAAAGGAGAAATTTCCTTTTTTTACAAAATACATCCTTTACARCAGCTGCACTAATGATACTTATTAAAGAATTTACTCTTAAATGTTGTTTTATGGCTGTTTGAGAATGTATCTTTTACACTGCAGTCTTTATGAGTAAACAAAACCTGCATACCTAAAAGACTATAAATACTACAATGCATATAACTTATGATTATTCTGCACAAAGTTGTTGTTCAGAAAAACTCATCTTAYTTGACAAACTATCGCAACAAATTCTTCTGTCTTCAAAGGGAGCAGAAGATTGGAATATCTGGAGTATTTCCTTTAGATTAATCTAATAATCAAAATTAACAAAAGAGAATGCATTAGGTGTGCCAAATGTTTTGTATCAAGGTTGTTAAGAAAAGCAGCACCAGGGAATGATACAAAGATGTCTTATGGTGTAATCTGCCAGAGTTACAAACACAAATTTCAAACTCCTGACAGCCTGAAATATGGTAGATACAAATATAGTATGCTACTTCCTGCAAGGCAACCAGAACTAAAAAATGCTTTTTTTATAAATAATCACCCTTGTTTTTCCAAAAGGCATAAATCATTTTCAGTTTGCACTGAAGGCTATAACATTTCCGAGCACATCGCCAGAAAACCTCTGGAGATCTAATTATAACAGGATAGCACAAAATAAATAAATAAATGAAAGAGTTATTACTTATTTGAACTGCTAAAACTGCTAGCTGCAATATGTTGACTTCTCTGTTAGTGCTATTCCACTTCGGAAAAAGGGTTCCTGTCATCTCTAGGAAATATAGCTAAATTTCCCTAGACCTGCATTAAATAATTTAATATGCCCAAGGCTAAAGAATACTGGCTATATGTCTCAATCAATATTTTAAAATAACAATAATCACAACTTATGTTTATTAAAAAAGAATAGGTTTTACCTCAGAACTTAAAACAAATGAGGAAACTCTTCTGACATAATTTATACTAAATGTTGTGTGATTCTACTGTTCTTAGTGAGATTACTCTACTCGAGTCATTCTGAAGTCAGAAACCTACAGTTCCAGATTGCAATCAGATGAAGGGAGCATATATAGACATTTCAGAATATCGGACCTTAGCCTGTGGTGTATAGCTTCACAGAGTAGGCTGATGGCAGAGTCAGGTGTCCTCAGCTTTCAGGCTCTCTCAGAAATGGCTGTGCAGTGCAGGTTTTATCATAGTTAGGAATCTTTCTGTTCCTATTCGATGCACTGATATCCTAAGGACTGTTTGGCTAGCAGATATTTCTAAGTTAAATAAAGTAAGAAGTATTACAGTATTTCTTCTGTTTAAAATACTTCAAAGCTATAATTTTATCTGTTTTAGAAAATTTTGAACTGAATTCTCCTCTGTTATGACATTTTTAACTTTAATTGTCCCTTTTACTATCATGATTCTGCAAGACTGCCCACCCTATGCCATCATGGTAACATATCTCTGCCACCTTTGAAATCGTTTGTACATTCATCCCCTACCATGATGGCTTAACACTGGCCTTAAACAACAAATGGCATGATAAATGTGGTTGTTCTTTTCATGAAGTGGACAGATGTTTTGCTTTGAACTCATTCATCATACTGTTTCCTTTCTCATACACTAAATAGCCTTGAGCTGCTGCATGACTTTGCTTATCTGAACCATCAGTGTAGAATAATGTAACTGTGGCTTTGTACTCTTTAAATTATGGCCCTTCCTGTTCTCCCTCAATCTCTTTGTGTTTACACACAAATATTTTTAAACAATCAGCTATTTATTTCAGTCCATGTGATTTTTTCTGGTGATTTTATCTTCTTGCTTTTGTTTTCAATGAGCTAGTCCTCGTCTCACAGAAATGTAGACTCATGTACATGTAAGAAGTGAGGGAGAAATAATTCTGCAGAAAACTGCCATATGCTGTGCAATACATCTCAGGTAAGTTGCATCCCCAAAACCAGCAACCACATATTTGCTGTTATATGAGGCCTGAAAAGGCAGCTGGACAACTATTAGACTATTTGGAAATCCCAAACATGTAATTCTTACAGAAATAATTGCAGTTGGTCCTGCAATAATTCCATAAATCCCCGTATCTTCCACCGCCAGCTGCTATTCTGAATGTTTTACTTTTTCATAGAATCAGAGAATGCTTAAGATTGGAAAGGGACCTCCAGAGGTCATCTAGTCCAAGCCCCCTGCACACACAGGGTCACCTAGAGCATGTGGTACAGGGCTGCGTCCAAGGAGGTTTTAAAGATCTCCAAAGAAGGAGACTCCTTTTTTTTTTTTTTTTTTTTTTTTTTTGAGGTTTTCTATGTTTTTAAACAATTATCTCTCTGCCATAATTATCGTGAAGACCCTGATCTAGGAGATCTTGGCTTCTTTTCTAAATGAGAAATAAAAAAATCTTCATAGTAAAAATTTGGTTACCCCAGACAGAATCCCTGAACTGTAGTGGCCTCCAGTAGTATAAATGGGCAGAGAACAGACCTGACTTCAAACCAGGTTCTGCATGTGCAGAAATACAAAGAGCACAAATATTAATACACTGGGACAGACCAAACAGATGCCCTAAAAATGGCATTTTGAAAAAATAGTGACTAGTTTTGACACCGACTGAGGAAAGCAAAGGCACTGACCACCAAGGTCCCACAGCTCATGCCATGCTTGAAGCAGTTAAGTCAGATACACTGGCTGATCACTTACTGTTACCCATTGATTTTAGATTTCTGATGGCTGCAAGTGAATTTTTTTTAAAATATTAATTCTTTAAAAAAGGAGTCAAGACCAGAAAAGTAAAATGTATGTGTACTCTCCATAAACTCTCCATATTTTCATAGACTACCTAACAGAAATGAAACAACTGAACATAGCATTTCAGTTTTCAATCTCTCTCAGCTTAGGACAAAATAACATAATACTAAGAGACAAATTGTTTGCATTAAAAACATCCRGATGCTGTTTTTAACACCCCTGAGCTGCTAATGATGACACCAGATTTCACAATCACATAATACAATAAACATAATATGCATTGAGATGCTCAATTCAGTATTTCAAATGCTGTCAAGATCCTGCCAAGGGGCATTGTAATGACAGGCATGAAATAATGACAACTGTAGAAATCTAGGTTTCAGCAGCATGAGAGCAGATGCCTTTGTTACTGAAGGGAATCGAGGACATAACATTTACCTTGGTTTTATGTAATACTCTAGAAGAAGCCAAAGTCCCATTGTGGCTGGAATTGAGGAAACATAATAAGGGTATGAATCACATATTGCCTAATTTTAGACATTTCTGAAGTGACTTAGTTTTAGCATCCCTTGATAGTCAATGGGGAGCTAATATTGTTTTCCGAAATCGATTTATCTGATGTTTCTAATTCATGGTGATGGAGAAGTCTATATTTCTCATTGGTGACTCCAAAGGGAGTCTACATAATTGCAGCATGATCTCTAGGACTTCTATTCAATGAATCCATCCTTTCAGAACCAAACAGAGTCATATAAATATTCAGACACTGAGATGACAATCTAGAAATTGAGATCCAATGGAACAATTTTAAAATTTCAAGAGAGCCCAAACACTACTGTCTCTTATATGTTTATATGCTCTTATATGCTTTCCATAATTCCTCTTATGGATATCAGCCAAATACACTAATTTAATGAGGACGAAAGTCTGGAGATATAAAATAGCATCTAATGTTTTATAAATAAAGTACAGATGACAAGGGCTATATTCAAATAAGRCTAAGCACATTGTAAGTTTTAAAAATATGATTGCAGATACCACTATTGTATGTTCTTTTATTTTCCTAGTCATATCCGCCTTTTCTTTTTTTCTCTCAAAAGTCTTGTTCATGAATATCTAGAGGCAGATATCCACTATACCTGCATTATAACGCAATTCTTCTCAAAAAGTTTTGAAAAAGCTGATGCACCAGCGGGTGTATCTTACACAGGAAAGGTTCCATACAGTCAAAGAGAGTGTCTGAAATATTTCAATTATTTTCAGAAAGATTCAGGCTGGTATGTCAGCCTTAATGCATTGAGATTACCTGAGAAATCTCCAAATATTATACAAGAGCACATAGATTGGGCCTTTGTACTCTGAAAAGCCCAATGTCCTTTCCGAATTTGATCTTATAGACACCCAGGAATTCTGATTCAAGGCAAAGAACTGAAACAAAAAGCATCTTATTCACCACTTTGACTCATTTCCTCCTCTTCCTCCTTCAATATATACGACATGAAAAGATTTTAGAGGATCAAGGCTAAGAGCAGTCAACTTAGTGTAACTGCTACACTTACATGGTCTTCCTTTCTAGAATCAAACTCAAGGAAGCCATGGTCTCAAAAGAGGATTTCCTAGGCACAGAGTTTATATAAGTATTTWGAGATAATAATCACTATTAATAATTGTGAAAAAATAGCATAATATCATTTATAAGAWGGAAGTTTTGTGTCTTGCCACAGGTCATCTTTTCCCCCCACACAYACACTATTATGCAATAAGTTGTTGATCTGTTATACACCTTACCGCTAACCTACTTATATAACTGCAATTCTGAATGTTGTATATAATTTACTTTGAAATGAAAGGCTTAAAACAAATGTAGCCTCCCACAGAGGGATGTATTTATTTACAGATTCATCTGTAATTAATTTTGCTAAGATAGGAGCTTTATTAGAAATTTCTACTGAGCAAAGTTGTTTGTTCTCTATTTGGAGAAACATTTTTTTTAAAAATGAAAACATTACCTTGGCTGATGTTTCAAACCAGCCCACAAATCCGTTCTCTTGGCAGAACTGGTCCATCTTGAGGCCATTGTTCATAAGAACATCTATTCCCTGGTCACATTTGTTTGCTAAGAGGACTGTCGGCACAGGTTTGCCATTTGGAAGAACCAGCTTAGAGTCCAAATCCTCTTTCCATTTTGTCACTGCTTCAAATGTTGCAGGTCTTGTAACATCAAAAACAATAAATGCCCCCATGGCTTCTCTGTAGTAGACCCTGGTCATGTTCCCAAATCTTTCCTGACCTGTGGTAAAGAATGTGGGGAAAAAAAAAAARRAAAAAAAAGAAAAAAAAATTGTGAAAATCATTGCTTCCAGTCTTGGTTAATTATTCAAAGAATAATATTTCAAATTCTTAAAGAACATTTCTGAGTGTAGGTACCATGTTGTAAGTGTTCTGCCTCTGGAAAAATACAATTTATACTAACAATAATGAGTACTAGACCCTTTTGCACAAAAATGTAAATGAATATAGCAAGAACAAGGTGTTTTAAAGACATAATCCAAGARAATGTAATGATTTTTGATAAAGCTTCTACTATAATAGTATAGAGTCTTACTAACCTACTTAGATCTGTGCAAGTACCAGGGATCTTGGTATACATCATAGAAAAAAACATTGAGGCAYGAGACTGTAAGCTCCTTGGTACTGCAGTATTACGTGGGGAGTGTCTAATACAGTTGATCTGACACATGAAATGAAGATCCTATATATGCTCATACAAGGGCTTATAATGAACTGCTGTTGATGCATGAAAGCTCTGGAGCCCTACCAGGCTTTTGAGTCATTACTGACTTAACTGCAAACTAAAGCACAGAGATGAGAAAGGTGAATTTCAAGCCTTATACATGKGGAAAGCATTCTAAAATCATAAAGCAGCAGAGATGCTGCAAAGTGATGTATCGCTCCAGTGGCTTCTTGGAGGAAAAGATCTTTTCAGAAACTTTAAGCTTTCTTTGTTGAAATCAAAGTATTTTTTTGGAAAGGTATTCACAGTATTTATTTTAGCTAACAACATACTGTATGATTTCAACATTTTCATTTGGAAATGTCATTTTATATTATTAATAACACAAAAACATTAACGTACATATTATCAAGATATAACACATTGATCAGCTGTTATATCTCTAACATATATACAGTTCCCTTTGGAATCTGAAAATTTGTATTTGAAAATAGAAACAAATTGTGCTGATACAATTTTCTGTGAAGTGAACAAATACCATCTCCATTCATCTTTGATCCAAAAAGGAAGAAATAAAATCTCCTGAAACATCTCAGAATAAYAGTACTCTTCTAGCTAGAGAGCTGTTGCATTTAACCATATGCTTCCACAACTGTGAAAGGTGCTATTAAAACAGAAACACTCACAGGAATTCTGATTTTCTTGATGTGTATAATTCTGAGYAAGGTAGGAAGACAAGAAGATTGTCTTTCTTTTTGACCCCAGGAAAATTTCCTGCGGAGAGTTTTATCTGATGGAAATTGTGCCATCAAATATAAAGCTGTGATGACATTTTGAGAATGCCGGCTAATGGATTTCTAGACCATATAGTTTCATTTAATGGAAATGGAATTTTTGAGGCCAGCCTTTAAAACTCACTGTATTCACATTAATGGGACAACAGCATCTATCTGTGATTTTTTTTTWAATWTTTTTTACACTCTAGTCATTATAAAAAGGAAAAAGTCATTTACATGATAAGGAAATCAAGTTCATTTGAGATCTCCTTTATTTTATACAAACACTGTTTCCCATTGATAAAACAAGATAGAAACATATCATTTCTAAAATATATAGTCATATCAAAAATTTCTTATGGCTATGTTTTATGAAAATGTCTTATGATTCTTATCAGTGGCTTAATCAAAAGAATGGCTAAGTCATGTGTTGTTCAATAATCTCCTTGTTGAGGAAAGGTTTTTTCCTTGTGAGAAAAGTGCCTTCAAGTAAAAGTCAAGGTACGATTGGTATCTTAGTAAAGATACCAATAAAGATACCAATAAAGATACCAATAAAGATACTTAGTAAAGATACCATCAGCAACACTTACAACTAGTTTTTAACACAAATTGTATTCCGGTCATACTTTATGCATCTCATGCAAAGTTCTTGACTTGCTTGCACTGTAGATGAGATATAGATGATTTAAGAACCAGCTAAACTCAAGTTTTAATACATATTCATTGTGACAAAGGTCTCTAAGATAAGTAAGATATGCCATCATAAAATAATATAGTCTGAAGAATTCATTTGCATTGTAAAATCATTCATCATAAACAAAGTTATTAGAGAAAGTAAAGGTCCCTATAATATGTTCTTCTGGCTAGCTGTGGCCCACAAAGCCCTGTCAAATRGAGTCACACTGATTTCTCCTGCTACTTCCAGTTGCCGTAGATATCTAGGTTTTTCACTACATAGAAAAAAAAAAAAAAACCAAGTCTGTAAAAGTAGCTTTAGTCAGGGGGACAGTGCTTACCATTTTCCATTAACAATCACTTCAAATAAAGAGATGGAATGAATGGCTGAACAAAGTGTCTCAGTCTTTATTGAAGTGCATAGTGATGGTGATTTTCCCTATAAATCAATGGTCTTGTGCAACTTTGAATGGAAAAAAAAAAGGTGTTGTGTAAACCATAGACTTTTGCAGTCATTTACATAATAGCTTTACTTTTAAGTCATTCATGTCATGGAGAAGAGAACTCTAGTGGATACATCGCACTTGGTGTGMCAAATATTGCACCTAAAGTCCCTGGAAGATTCCTTTTTTCAAAGATTCTGCCTTATATGATSAAATACCTTTCTTAATAGATGAGTTTCTCAAAATCATTTCATTTAGTGGAATTGCTCATGGAAACAGGTACTGCTTGGTATGCTAAATTGTCATAATCCAGCCTCAAGTGTTCAGTAACATGCATTTTTTAGGCAGTAGTTGCCTTAGAAAATATATCAACCTTTTTGCATTGAGTATATACCATAGGTATCTCATATACAGCGCTAAACATTAGAAACTGCTTTACTATAAGAGAAGCTGCAGTTGAGACAGCCAGTGCAGGGTCATTGGAACAGGTGGGTTTTATTTTTCATGAGAAGGGTCAGAAACTTCTGAACTGAAGAGATACCATCTCTTGCAATGTCACTGGCATCTGGCATCAAACCCCATGATTGTGATGGCCTTTGCCCATAGGAATGGGTCTTTATACAGGGGATTCATCAACTCTAGGTTCTGAAGAATTAACAGACTGTATTAAGATTAAGGTTCCTTAACTGTTGATGATTGGCAATAAGCACACCTTCAGAGCTTCCTCTCAGGAACCTTTAAGAGAGATATCAAGCCCACATTTCCCAGCACAAATATATAACATAATAAAATTGCTGCAGCAAGAGACTTGCACCATCTTATTTATGATGGTAGAATAGTAATTTCAAGGAAACTTAGATTAGAAATCACTCTGACTATCTTATTTATGCATATGTACTGCAATGCTTAGCAGCCACTAAAAGCTTCAAGCACTGATGATACACCATGCCTGGTTTTAGTAAATAGTCCATTCACTCCTGCATACAAGTCTTACAAAACTGAAAGCTGCTAGGACGCTTGACTGTATTTGTGGAAACACTGCTGGGCTTGAAGGTGAAAATGGCAGGGAAGGAAAATTAGAAACCTCTCCTCACAGGTACTATGTGGATGCCTCCAATGAAGATGGACCATCTTTGCATCTGCAAGGCCACCCCAACTGCAGCAGAGAATTATGCAAGAATCTCGGTCTTGTAAGAGCTACATTAATATCTGAGTAAGAGTTTCTTTTAGAGTTTTCCCCCTAAAAATCTATTGGCAAATTAAGGGATCCTCATGCTGAAACAATAAAAAGGAGATAAGAAGGAAAAAAAGTGTGACTAAGAACACGATATAAAGGTGTATGAAACATCAGAAGAGGGGATAGCACACTCCAAGAGCCTGAGGAACATGAACACCAAAAGAGAGATTTTAGGACACTATGATGGAGTAAAGTGAGAGTACTAGGATGAAAATCAGGTGAGAAGATTTTATATCCTCTCAMACAAAGTAGTGAAAATTCAGTCACCTGGAACATTAAATGTTTTGCTGAATCAGAGCTGAATCACTGATTTTACGGCCAATGTGCTGTTACAAACACCATAACATTATAAWCCATGATGTTTTTACCCAATTATTCATGTCTTATGAACATATATTTAGTACAAATAGATATTATCTGTTAAAAAATGGAGTCTCAGTGTAATGTTATATGATTCAGAATCTCCCATATCTCTGAATTACATTCTCTAATGCTTAGCTATCCTCATTAGTCAATGTTTATGTCTCTTCTTCTTAAAATACTTGATACCCAGTGATGCACACAGTGGGGTGGAAGGAAGAGTACACATTATACTTGGTGCTAAGTTCATTTGTACAATGGTTGAGAAGAAGAGGAAGTGCAAGATAAAATGATACCTGAGGTATGTATGTATATATATATATAAAATATATATATATATATATACACTAATGTGAGACCTCATGATACTTTTGCTTCATTAGCTTCAATTAAAGATGTCCAAAATATTAAATCAACATCTTAGTTTAGTTTGAGACAGAAAAGGTATTGCTTTACCAACAAAGCTAAATATAATCTAATAACAGAAGTTCTWCCTAAAAAAGGGGACTGCTCTGAAGAGTGTAAAATTTATTTTTCACCTCTTGTCCTGGMATATTTGTGTTTTACAAGTGACAATATGTGACCAGCTGCAACCAGGATAAAATACTTCCATTCCCTCCAGATTTATTTCCTTTTCATTTTTAAACTTTTTTTTCCCTCACCAGCCAGATATTTTATTCATGATGACTTGCACCACTGATCTAAATTCYGTGTTGCTTCCAGAACTTATTCACTCTTTACAGTGATCAACAGCTAAAACTCCATACACAGAAGTCATTAAAGCTGAGACAGAAACTCTGCAATTACCAGCTGCTGTCTTGACCTTCACAGAGATGCTCTGAATTGAACATTTCATACAAAATTTAGTACTGTGCTGCAATTCTCTCTGTCAAGTGTGATAACTCGGAAAGCATGCTAGTCATTCAGCACTACAACTTGGTGTAATTGCTTCTGCAGCCTGACTGAAAGCTACATCATATGATCCGCCAGCACATGATTAGTAGTTTAATAAATCTCTGAAACAAGGCATGCAAAATACATTCTTTAAGCCTCAAATGCATTCAGAATTTTTTACTATTAAATGCTTTTTCTCATGCAGAAAAAAAGTATTGTTGGGATTATTCATATTTGTCATAATCAGCCACTCATGAGGAATAAACTCAATGTTTTACCCATTCTTCCATCTTTTAAAGAAACAGACTGGGCTTATGTAAATTTAATATCAAGAAATTAGAGGACTACATTAATGTGTTTAAAAAAAGGAAAGAAAAAGAGGTTATCTAAGCTTTGCATAAGGCAGTATTGTTGCATAAGTTTTGCTACCTTGGTGCCAAATTCAGAGCTGAGATATGAGCTAGCTAAATGTAGAAGAAAGGCACTCCTTCAGTCAATAAGAATGCTAAGAATTTTATTATTTCACTAGTTTTCCTAGGTAAAAATCCAGACGCAATCAATAAACTCACAATTCAGGCCAGAAGCTGGCRTAGATGCCTAACGGTTGATATAATATTCCTTTCTTGTAAGTACCTACTTACAAATACAACTTCTTAATTTAGCTGAGTTTTTAAAAGGTCCTACTTTTTGCTGTAAATTTTTGTAATGAAACTGTGCTTCATTTGTTATGTATACTAAATGAAAAGTCATTACTTATATCTTGCAAAATATGCCATCAAGATAACTTTTATTTCATGTACTGAACCACAAACGAGTATTTCTTTGTAAAGGAGGTGGCAGAGGTAAAAAGTTGTGTTTTTAATTAGAAGCAGAGTGTATAACAAGGAAAAATCTAAAGCATTGATCGCAATAATGTCAACTCTTTTTTTTAAATAAACATGCATGCAAGAATATCTGAACTTTTGAATTTTCTTTCTCTCCACAAAGAGTAAATTATCTTTTTCTGCTTGCTATTGCCATCAAGGACAAGTAAACATGAAACCATGAATAAATACATTTTTAACAACCACGCTTACTGCAGAACAGAAATGCTTTTTCTTTAAAGTGTGTCTGCTTTCTTTTTTTATGTTTCATTGCGCCAGAGGAAGGAAGAAGAAAAAAAAAAAAAAAAAAAGAAGATATTTTGAAAATTTAGCAACATCTTTCTTTTTTTTTTTTTTTACTATAAAACTTGTATTAACTATCTTGATGAATCCATCACCTCTTCCACGTTAAGTAGATGTAAAGTGAAAATCTTGTCACCCTCCCTCTCATCACAGAGAGCTGTTGGATTAATGAGCCAAACCAAAGAGCGGCAGCTGCAGGGAAAGAACCGGTGAGTTCATCAGAGCTGCTCCTGTCACCTCCCGGGTCTAAGGGCCTCGGAGAAAAATTATTCAGGACAGATTTGACCTGGACACCCCTTCTCTGGGAACCTAAAGGACTCCAAAATCCCAAGCTATGCTAAGGTGTCCTCTCCTCAGCCTGCTCTCCCTCACTGCAGAGACATCAGTAAGATGGGCATAAACAAGTYTGGGACTGTATTTTTTGTTGTTCCTAGACAGCTTTGGGGACACCAGCTTCTCTTCTGTACTCACCAGCTATATCCCAGAGCTGCAGCCGCACCACGGTCTCAGCATCCCAGCTGAGCACCTTCAAGGCAAAGTCCACCCCGATGGTGGCCCGGTAGTGCGGGGAGAAGTTCTGGTGGACATAGCGCTTGATGATGCTGGTTTTGCCCACTCCCAGGTCCCCGATCACCAGCAGCTTGTAGAGGTGCTCCTTCTGGCCGGGCTTCTGCATCCTTCCTCTGGCTGCGGCTGCTGTGTGTGAAGCACTCGCATGCTCTGCCCGAGGACGCCTGCCAGCCCTGGGGGAGAGAGGGAGTGAAGCATCAGGGAGGGAGGAAGAGGAGGTAGGTGGAGGCTCTTCCCCTCCGCACGGCAGCAAGATTGCCAGGTCCAGCGGCCAGCCCTGCTGGAAGAGGAAGAAAACAAGAGCTTGAGGGGAAGGAAAAAAAAAGAAAAGTCTCTCAGAAAGTTATGTGTGTGTGTGTAAAGGTCAGTGCGAGGTGTGTCTGGAATTAGTCTGGCTGCAGGGCTGGAAGCTTTGCATGAAAAGTGGTGTCACAGGCAGTCTCATTCTCTGCTTTACTCCTTGCTGTGAGCACAGGGCTTCTTTACATATTTTTTCTGAAGTACTGTCTCCTGCTGGTAATAATTCATTACCTTCCATATGTTTTCACCTATGCTCAAAACCCTAGTGATTGCAAAAAGAGAATTTTCAATTTTCAATTTTCAATTTTGCATTAAAGTGCAGGAATTAAGCCAGTGTAGCTTTAACTGTGAGTTTTTGATAAGCCAGTGTGAGTATCTTTACATGTGTCTGCACTTGGAGGGATGTGTAGATTTAATTATATTTTAATTTGCCATTTAAATACTTTTAAATTGCATATATAGACATGTTCATATTCACTGCACACAGCACACAGTTCAGACTTTGTTTTTTTGCATAGAACAAGAATCTAAAATGCAAAGCATTCAAACCAGATCCAGAAGATTTACCCCATGACTCTGATAATTAGAAGTTATAAAAGCGTAACATCATTACAAAATATAAGTGCCAAGGTCTCAGCAGTTCCCTGTTTTAAAAAATATGTGATGCTGGGCTTTCAATCAATTAAACTCTTTGGATTTGAACAAACCATTCTATTGATACAATTAACCCTATATTATAAATGAAAAATACATTCACAGCTTTAATTAGGCAGCTTCACTGGAAAAACCTATCCATTGCTTAGAAGTGATTTATAATTTAATAGGTTCTGTAGCAAAATAATAATATTATAATTGTTTAAAACTCATCCAGGGGTGATTTTTACATTTATTGATAATATTGATAAAATGACAAAAAACATTATTTGATTAAGTCATTAGCAAAACATGTACTGAAATGGCAGGGGAGATTTGTGATCTAACCCAAAAGTTGAATTTTAGTAGACAAAGAATTTAGAGAACCATTTCAACATCATTTATGAGAAGCAATCATTTATAATCATTTTTAAAATCAAATGTAAAACTTTGCATATATAGATAAACAAAGAGGAAGACAAGTTGGAGGCAGAAAATGGCTTTTTTTCATGATTTTATTTTTTCAAAGAAGCCATTTTTTCAATATGAGAGATTTTCTTTCCAAAGATAAGCTGCTAATAGTATCCTTTTTGAAAGGAAAATCCAAAAGGGGTTAGTGTCATTGGCTAGAGACATCATAAATTTTGCAGTGTGAACAAGAAGCCACCTTACTCCAATCAGTTACTGACTTGGGTGACTCAAATTTTTTTCATTACTACCTGTTGCTCTGCAGTATGTGAATCCTATGTTCATGGCACCATCATTTTCAGAGAGGATCCAGTAGACAAGTATTTGTAAGGACTCACAAGTGCCCGCTAAATTTGAAAATTTTACAAGTTAAAACAAATCAACCAAACAAACAAATAAATAAACAAAGCAAAATTAGAGAATTTAGCAATTTATGAAATTAACAAAAAAATGCTCGGGTGGAAATTTTGTCTCATCTTTTGCCTTTCTGTAACCATGCAATGGCAGAAAGCAACCCACGAAGCACAGCAGTAAGCAGATATTAGATAATTACCCCCACATGAACATTTTACACTATTAGTAAGTTTAACTAGAGATTGGCCTCTATCCAGAAGCCTGAGGCTTTACCTCCCTTCCAAAGTTTTTGTTAGCATTAGCTATAATAATTCTGGATAATCATGTTATTTGTTTAAGTTTCCAGTTCTTCTTTGAACCTGACTAAATTCTTGGCCCCAGTAAAACCCTGGTACAATGAGCTCCTCATAGGCTTAGCCAGGGTCACCCAAGGGTGGCAGGAGGGTTATAACCCCCACTTGCAGAGGTGTTCAGATATTAGTTAAGCGTGTTCAGATATGGATTAAGTGTGTAGGAGGCTCCACTGCCTCGAGCGGGATGATGCGCCAAGATAATGCGAAGCACATGGTGAAGTGCCTTGCTGGCTGGAAGCCATATCCAGATATCCTACTTCCCTTCCCTTCTCCATGGTTAATTATGGACTATGCTCTGCTGAATCCTGCTGGGGTAGAATAAGGCGTTAACCCCTAAGGTGGCCTTATCTCTTTCCAGGACCATCTCCACCTCTGGAGCTGCATGTAAACTCTAAACTCTATTCTAGACTTTGCTGGCTAGGACAAAGGCATTGGACCAAGGCGGTGTGGATGTTGTGTATACCCTTACATCTCCCCTGCAAAGACAGCTGATACTGGTGTGGGGTAGGACAGACTATTTGGGCTTGTTTTAGTCTTGAACTGTTGCTGTGAGACAGATCTGACAACTTTGGTTGACCCTTTGGTTACACAGCCTGGTTATCATCATGCAGCATATTGCTGCAAGGATGTCCAAGGAAGTGAGCTGTAACTAACTGGTGCAATGTAATCACTCTTAGCCTAGACTGCAGCTAAAGGTGGTTGATCTAAACCATATTAGCTTGCATTTTTATTACATAACTACCCTGGCTCAGGTGATGCAGGGAGACACTTGTTAAGCAGGGAAAGCAGGAAGATATCTCCAAGCTCTTATTCTGCTGCTTTAATTCAACAATGTCAAGCTGGTCAGAATATTACAAGCTATTGTCAGTTTAGGTGATGATTCAGTTGTTAGATTTTAATTATCTCAGTTTTCTCTAGTAAAGATGTATGCTTTGAATTTTATTATATCAATGAAAATAATAATAATAATAATAAAATAGTACCACATGTTTCTACACTTTTACTTTTGTGATTCCTATCAATCCACGGTTCTATTTGCCACAATATACCTACTCTCTCTTTCTACTTTCTCTATTTTAATACTACTCCTGTCAGCAGTTGATTCAAACTCTATACATCTCTGTTATTAACAAACAGTAACACTTAAGAAAGAGCTATCAAATCCATCAAATAGAGTATTACATTATTATTATGTTCGTTTCAGCATAAAAATAAAATTTGGTTTACATTGATAATTTTCAGGAATTTCTCACTATTCTCTGATATTAGTTGAGACCTTTTCTTCTGAGAGAAGTGATAAAATTCAGCATGCAGCTATACTGGCAGCAGTTCACTATGTATATACACAGCATATAGCAAAGAAAGGAGCCATAATTCTTATTGAACATCAGGATTTTTACCTCTGTATCTGTAAAAAAAAAAGTCTGAGATATTGAACCATGAGTTAAAAAAATCAGCCTCAGTGATTCTTGGTAAAGCAAGTAGATTCAGATTAAGAGTTCTTAAATGTACTTAAATGATCTCCATCTAATTATCCATATTTTTGTAGCATAGTCATCACTGTTATATGTGATAACCATTAAAATTCTGAGGGAGCTTGCCTATGCCTTTGCATGCATCTTACTGAATATTATACAATATAAATAAGACCACAATCAACAGAAACTGTAAATGTACTACATTACTACTGTAAATGTACTACATGTACTACTGTAAATGAATATGAAGAGAGGCTGAGTGAGCTGGGCCTGTTTTCTCTGGAGAAGAGGCGGCTCAGAGGGGATATGATTAATATGTATAAGTTCAGGAAGGGAGAATGCAGGGAGGAAGGGGACAGGCTGTTCTCACTGGTGGCCAGCGATAGGACGAGGGGTA